AAACATGTATCTCCAGCGGAGTTATGTCGTTTTGAAACGTCATATCTCCAGCGGAGTTATGTCGTTTTGAAACGTCATATCTCCAGCGGAGTTATGTCGTTTTGAAACGTCATATCTCCAGCTCCGCTGTCGTTTTGGAACGTCATATCTCCAGCGGAGTTATGTCGTTTTGGAACGTCGTTTTTCCAAGCGGAGTTATGCCGTTTTGGAACGTCGTTTTTCCAAGCGGAGTTATGCCGTTTTGGAACGTCGACCTTCTGGGCAGTTCTGTTCGCCTGGTTTTTTGGCAGATTTCAAGAAAAATCTCGGCAGCCAGGTTGCTAATAGTCGCCCCTCACGGGTATTTCTAACCGTTGATTTTTGAATTTTTAAATAAAAAAAACAGGAAATAATTTGAAATAATTAGTTTATTCATGTTTAAATTTATAAAATTGTTTTTTAATGTTATTTTCTTAAATATTTCTCTTAAAAATTATACAAATCGAGCATAAATTATTATTTTATTTTATTAAAACTTAAAATAACTCTGTCTGGCTTTATTAAAGACCGATCCTGGAAAAATCTGCTTTGTCACTCGTGAAGGTCCTTAGAGCTCATTGTAGTCCTTTATTTGTCAGTCTGTAAAGATAAAAACACATTTAAATTAAACATAAAAACAAGTAAGAGGCTCTAGTCGAGAGCTCCCGACTAGGGGATACCCTGAACCCTCTTCGCGGAGTTATGTCGTTTTGGAACGTCATATCTCCGCGCGGAGCTATTACCCGAGAGCTATTACCCGGGGTAGGTTCGAATATCAAAACTTTTTGAATATTTTTTTGAAAATCTCGGGTAAATATAATCTGATTTTAAAATATTATACCTTTTTGAATTCGTACGGATCCCTACTATCATATGGCATTCAAGGATATTAAAAATTGATGGGTTGGAAAAAGTTGTTGACCAAAAAACGTTTCGTTGGCATAATCAACCTTTTTTGTTGATTTTTTTAGACTATCTCGGCCAAGTAATCTCAGAGTCGAAGCATTCGCCAACCCATACAAGAGACCTCGCTGAGAGGTGTGTAGTCAGAAGGCTCAAGAAAAGATCCTTTAGAGACCTCCTCCAACCACGACACAGGAGAAGCCCCAGAGCCCACCGACTACCTACGTGACGGTGCAGCCTTACTCAAAGAAGACGGCTTTGACGTTTGTCCACGATAAAGCCTGAGGAGCCAACCAGGATTCGCGAGATACCACCTAAGTTAACGGTTTTGTAATAAAAATGTATGCTATTTTTTGATTCAATACAATAAACAAATATAAGTTGAAAAAAAAAACAAACTTTTTTGACGATTTTTTTTTTTTGAACTGTCGGGTAAATATATCCTGTTTTTGAAATGTTATACCTTTTTGAGTTCGTACGAATCCCTACTATCATACGGCATTCAAACAAATTAAAAATTGATGGGTTGAAATGAGTTGTTGACCAAAAAACGTTTCGTTTGTAAAATCAACCTTTTTTGATAATTTTTTTAGATTATCTCGGCCAAATAATCTCAGATTTTGGAATTTTATACTATTTTTGACTCGTAAGGATCAGTACTATCGATTGGCATCAGAAAAATAAAAATCTAAATTTTGACCCAAATCGACCAAAAAGCAAGGGGTTACATCACGTTTTTTTCCAAAATCGGGGTAGGTTCGAATATCTCAACTTGTTTGATGATTTTTTTGAAAATCTCGGGTAAATATAATCTCATTTTAAATGTTATACCTTTTTGAATGCGTACGGATCCCTACTTCCCATATGATGGCATATGATGGCATTCATTAAAAAAAAGTTGTTGGCCAAAAAACGTTTCGCTTGCAAAGTCCACCTTTTTTGGAGTATCTCAAGTGAGATTCATTAAATTATGCTAAACGAAGTACTGTCCCAATAGAGCTCTCTCCACTGGATTTATTCAAGGGTATAGGTTCTGAGATCCTTGCGTTCATACATACGGACGGACGGACGGACGGACGGACAGACAGACGGACATGGCTAGATCGACTCGGCTATTGATGCTGATCAAGAATATATATACTTTATGGGGTCGGAGATGCTTCCTCCTACCTGTTACATACATTTGGATTTTGCACAAATATAATATTCCCCTTTACCCATTTTTAATGGGTTCAGGGAAGAAAATAGGCCATAACTCGGGCATGTCCTTGCAGATTTTCAAAGGACATGGTGCGTTAGGATCGTATTGACCCACTGCATCGATCTGCATCCAAAAAATATGGGGTAATCTAAGAATCATATGAGTTGAAATTGGACTTGTAAAATTTCAGTCGCGGATCGCACGGAAATGGGCCGAAAACACAAATCCTTGAATATCTTCAAAACTACAAGGACGATCTTAATGAAACTTGGCCAGTTGATAGTCTTGGCCAATGCAATTATTTTGACATATGACTCGCCAGGATACGCAAGGATATGGTCGAGTTATGGCTTAATTTCTTCAAACAAAATCGCCCTTAAAACTTTTTTCTTTGAAGGACTTTCGTCCTTTGGGTTGTAAATTCTTCAATGGGAGGGTGAGTACTATCTGCTGGCCAAAGGACAACCCGAAAGTCCTTCAAATGGCAAAGTTAGCCCGGCATTTTTCGATTTTAGCCAATTTTGCGACTAACCCCCTAGGAAAAATTTCGACGAAATTTTTTGTCGAATTCTGGAAATCGTTGAATGCCAATCGATAGTCCTGCTCCCCACGAGTTCAAAACGGTACGTCCTTCCGATATCCTAAATTATTTGGCCAGGATATGACTATTTAATAAAATGTCCTTTTTAGAAAATTGGCTATATCTCGGAAACGACAAGGATGATTTTGTTGTCCTTTGCCCAGTTTATGGTCCTTGTTCATACGAGTTGTCTGACACAGGACTTGTCAGGACCCGCAAGGATACGGCCAAGTTATGGCTTTGTTAATTTACAAAAGAATTGTACTCATATTTAGACTGAAGGACTTTAGTCCTTTTTATTGCATATTCTGAATTGGGAGGATGAGGACTATCGGGTGGCCAAAGGACATCGTGATCCGCAAAGATACGGCCGATCGACCGCATTCTTTCTTTACATGCAAATATCTCTTTTCCTCAGCTTCTTTAAGGACTTTCGTCCTTTTTTAAATATACTCTAAGCTGGTAAGGCAAGGACTGTATGATGGCCAAAGGACATCAGGATTTGGCTTGAAATGGCCGATTTATGGCCGTTTTGGTTATTAATGTCTTGTTTATATATATGTATATATATATATAGCCATATTTTTAAAACTATAAGGACGATTTTGAAATGCTCTGCAGAGTTAGTACCCCTGGTCTTTACAAATTGTTTGTTACAGGACACGCCAGGATCCAAAAGATAAAGAGAGCTTTGGCCTTGTTTCATACTAATATCTCTTTTATCAGCTTTTTGAAGGACTTTCGTCCTTTTTGATATATATTTTAAGTAAGCGGGATATGGACTTTCCATTGGCCAAGGGACATAAGCATTTTATTTAAAATGTCCAAATTGGTCTATACGTGTCGCTAAGCACAGGACCATACCATCGGTTCCTTGGTTTCAGCAGGCGGGAGAGAAAGCGCAAGCTTTTTATATAATAATAGGATTCCCATGAAATATTTAAACGAAGATTATTGAAGGTCTGAAGTTGCTTCAAAATATCCGACATCAAATTATTAAATCTGTTGTCCCAAAATCATCTGAAATTATTGTATATTGTAATATGAACTGAAAGATCTGAAGCTTATGCTCTTACCTTGTATCACAGCGACCATGATGTGGCGCAATTTCAGTCTACGTTAAATATATGTGCCCTCCTGCTCTCTAGGTTCAGTTCAGCAAGGCCTGTCCTTGCCAGATAACCAAGGATCAATATAAATTATAAGTTGAATGTCAATACCATCGTGCCGTGCCCTTGGTTATAGCAGGCGAGAAATCGCAAGCCGTCTGATTCGGGCTGTACAATACAATTGTGTTCAAGTTATGACACGGAGATCATTGGAAGATGTGCCACAAATACGCTCAGATGAAGTTTCTTTAAAATATCGTTTAAAATTAGGTAAGTCTGGAAGAATGTTATATGAACAGAAAGACTTTTAACTTATTTTCTTACCTTGTTTCACAGCGAGCAGCCTAGTGTGTCACTATTCCAGTCAAAGTTAAAGCAAGCTGTCCCCTTGCTCTCCAGGCACCTGGGCTTCGTAATGCGCAACCGTTCTCTATATCCACACAGCTGCTAGAACTGCAAAAGATTTCAAAAACATTAATTTTGGCAAATGACCACGAATTTTACATCAATTGATGGTCCTAAATCCAGCGAGTTCAACAAGCTGTATCTTTGGCAGATATTTGAGGATTTGGCCGAGCCATGGCAAAAAAAAAAACGAATGACATTTTTAGCTTAATAACATTACCTCGGCCATATCCTTGCGGACATCGAGTTAGATTTACTGGGCAGCATGTGCTTGGCGTAAATGAATTCAAACTGTAATTGTTTATGTATATAAATATAAATCATACAAAGCTAACTCATCCAGACACTCACCTGTTTTGCCTTTGCCCATGTACGTCAATCCTGGAAATCTGAATGCCAAACGATAGTCCTGAATCCTGCGAGATCAATAAAATGTGTCCTTTCCAGATCCTCAAGGAATTGGTCGAGTTATGGTCGAAAAACGAATGTTCTCTTTAGAAAAATAGGTCGAACTAAGAAATTGAAGATCTCAACATAAAAATGTTTTCTTTTGCCCTCTAAATCGCGCGAGTGGCAGAACAGATTGACGGCTGTCCCTTGTCCCAAAATGTTTCCGAATGTTTTCTTACAATTATTACAATTCAAAAAGCTTTAAGTACTTATCTAATGATAGTTACATGTTACATGATAGTTACATGCATTCAGTATTGCCTTAGCAACATTTCTTGCAAACAAAAATATAATACATCGAATTCTTACATGTTTTATTGTTTGATTTAAAAGTATTCATTTACATAAATCATGCGTTACACGCTGAGAAAGCTTACAAGTACTACAACTAACAATCGAGTATATTTGAATGATTAAAATTAATAGTAAGATATAAATATGTAGTCATAATACATGCTTACGCGATTAACTATTTAAGTGCGCGAGAGCTACTTTTTGGCACTTTACCACACTGGCTAATTCACCTTGATGGCGGTCCGAATGCCGAGTGTAAAGGAAATGACTTCCCTATCTGGTTGTCGATCGGTAAATTCGCGCTTCATAATTTTCCTCGATAAAAGATCTTCGCTTTGATCTGCGGTTGTTATTGGATCTATATCCTTAACGCTTACGGTATCGCGTTTAATTCGCGTGGGCTCGCCGTCCTCATCATCGTCCAACTCAAACACATTATTGTTTGTAATTGCCAGTTTGTTGATCTCATTAAAAAACTTATTTTTCGCGTCCCTAACTGTCCTGTCATAGCCTGGATTGCTCAGCGGGGGCAAATACGTTGCCGGTATGGGCGTTGAACCCTTATACGTATCAGGACAACGGGGATCTACAGAGCCAGGGAAACAGTAAACAGGAGTCGTGTCGGGCGATAAAGTTGAAGTCACTAAGCTTTGGGAGCAACGAACATCAGTAGATCCAGGATAACAGTTGGGCGAAGAAGGCGTCTTTGGCTGTTGTGGACAGCGAGGATCGGTTGAGCCTGGATAACACCTTGGCTTAGTCGGCGTTACTGGTGGACGAACTGTAGTTGGAGGTAGGTAAGTTGCAGGTTGACATTCGGGATCTGTTAAACCAGGATAGCATCGGGGCTTCAATGTGGTCTTGGGTTCCTGTGGGCAACGAGGATCACTTGATCCAGGATAGCAGTCAGGCGAAGCAGTTGTCTTTGGTTCCTGCGGACAGCGAGGATCGGTTGAGCCTGGATAACACCTAGGTTTAGTCGGTGTCGGTGGTCGAACCGTAGTTGGAGGCAAGTAAGTGGCTGGTTGACAATCAGGATCTCTTGAGCCAGGATAGCAACGGGGCTTCGATGTGGTCTTGGGCTCTTGTGGACAACGAGGATCACTTGATCCAGGATAGCACTTGGGCGAAGCAGTTGTCTTTGGCTGTTGTGGACAGCGAGGATCGGTTGAACCTGGATAGCATTTAGGCGTAGCAGTCGTCTTTGGCTGTTGTGGACAGCGAGGATCGGTTGAACCTGGATAGCAAGAGGGCTTTGGTGGCGTAATCTGATTGCCTGGAACTCTCGTCGTTTTTATTGGCGGAAGGTAAGTGGCTGGTTGACATTTTGGATCACTTGATCCGTCAAAACATCCAGGCTTTTTAGTAGTTTGCACTTTGGGGCACCTTGGATCTGGTGATCCAGGGAAACAGTTGAGGCACTCTGGATCCTTTGATCCTGGATAACATGAAGGACCAGGGGTCGTTGTAGTGGGCTCTGTTGGACAGCGAGGATCGGTTGAGCCTGGATAGCATTTGGGCGAGGCAGTCGTCTTAGTCTCTTGTGGACAGCGAGGATCGGTTGAGCCTGGATAACACCTTGGCTTAGTCGGTGTTACTGGTGGACGAACTGTAGTTGGGGGTAGGTAAGTTGCAGGTTGACATTCGGGATCTGTTGAGCCAGGATAGCATCGGGGCTTCGATGTAGTCTTGGGTTCCTGTGGGCAACGAGGATCACTTGATCCAGGATAGCACTTGGGCGAAGCAGTTGTCTTTGGCTCTTGTGGACAGCGAGGATCAGTGGAACCTGGATAACACCTTGGCTTAGTCGGTGTTACTGGTGGACGAACTGTAGTTGGAGGTAGGTAAGTTGCAGGTTGACATTCGGGATCTGTTAAACCAGGATAGCATCGGGGCTTCAATGTGGTCTTGGGTTCCTGTGGGCAACGAGGATCACTTGATCCAGGATAGCAGTCAGGCGAAGCAGTTGTCTTTGGTTCCTGCGGACAGCGAGGATCGGTTGAGCCTGGATAACACCTAGGTTTAGTCGGTGTCGGTGGTCGAACCGTAGTTGGAGGCAAGTAAGTGGCTGGTTGACAATCAGGATCTCTTGAGCCAGGATAGCAACGGGGCTTCGATGTGGTCTTGGGCTCTTGTGGACAACGAGGATCACTTGATCCAGGATAGCACTTGGGCGAAGCAGTTGTCTTTGGCTGTTGTGGACAGCGAGGATCGGTTGAACCTGGATAGCATTTAGGCGTAGCAGTCGTCTTTGGCTGTTGTGGACAGCGAGGATCGGTTGAACCTGGATAGCAAGAGGGCTTTGGTGGCGTAATCTGATTGCCTGGAACTCTCGTCGTTTTTATTGGCGGAAGGTAAGTGGCTGGTTGACATTTTGGATCACTTGATCCGTCAAAACATCCAGGCTTTTTAGTAGTTTGCACTTTGGGGCACCTTGGATCTGGTGATCCAGGGAAACAGTTGAGGCACTCTGGATCCTTTGATCCTGGATAACATGAAGGACCAGGGGTCGTTGTAGTGGGCTCTGTTGGACAGCGAGGATCGGTTGAGCCTGGATAGCATTTGGGCGAGGCAGTCGTCTTAGTCTCTTGTGGACAGCGAGGATCGGTTGAGCCTGGATAACACCTTGGCTTAGTCGGTGTTACTGGTGGACGAACTGTAGTTGGGGGTAGGTAAGTTGCAGGTTGACAATCGGGATCTGTTGAACCAGGATAGCATCGGGGCTTCGGTGTGGTTTTCGGTTCCTGTGGGCAACGAGGATCACTTGATCCAGGATAACACTTGGGCGTAGCAGTTGTCTTTGGCTGTTGTGGACAGCGAGGATCGGTGGAGCCTGGATAACACCTTGGCTTAGTCGGTGTTACTGGTGGACGAATTGTAGTTGGAGGTGGGTAGGTTGCAGGTTGACAATCGGGATCTGTTGAACCAGGATAGCATCGGGGCTTCGATGTGGTCTTGGGTTCTTGTGGACAACGAGGATCACTTGATCCTGGATAGCAGTCAGGCGAAGCAGTTGTCTCTGGTTCCTGCGGACAGCGAGGATCGGTTGAGCCTGGATAACACCTAGGTTTAGTCGGTGTCGGTGGTCGAACCGTAGTTGGAGGCAAGTAAGTGGCTGGTTGACAAGCGGGATCTGTGGAACCAGGATAGCAACGGGGCTTCGATGTTGTCTTGGGCTCTTGTGGACAACGAGGATCACTTGATCCAGGATAGCAGTTGGGCGAAGCAGTCGTCTTTGGCTCTTGTGGACAGCGGGGATCGGTTGAGCCTGGATAGCATTTAGGCGTAGCAGTCGTCTTTGGCTGTTGTGGACAGCGAGGATCGGTTGAACCTGGATAGCAAGAGGGCTTTGGTGGCGTAATCTGATTGCCTGGAACTCTCGTCGTTTTTATTGGCGGAAGGTAAGTGGCTGGTTGACATTTTGGATCACTTGATCCGTCAAAACATCCAGGCTTTTTAGTAGTTTGCACTTTGGGGCACCTTGGATCTGGTGATCCAGGGAAACAGTTGAGGCACTCTGGATCCTTTGACCCTGGATAACATGAAGGACCTGGGGTCGTTGTAGTGGGCTCTGTTGGACAGCGAGGATCGGTTGAGCCTGGATAGCATTTGGGCGAAGCAGTCGTCTTTGCCTGTTGTGGACAGCGAGTATCGGTGGAGCCTGGATAACACCTTGGCTTAGTCGGTGTTACTGGTGGACGAACTGTAGTTGGGGGTAGGTAAGTTGCAGGTTGACAATCGGGATCTATTGAACCAGGATAGCATCGGGGCTTCGATGTGGTTTTCGGTTCCTGTGGGCAACGAGGATCACTTGATCCAGGATAACAGTTGGGCGAAGCAGTTGTCTTTGGCTGTTGTGGACAGCGAGGATCGGTGGAGCCTGGATAACACCTTGGCTTAGCCGGTGTTACTGGTGGACGAACTGTAGTTGGAGGTAGGTAAGTTGCAGGTTGACAATCGGGATCTGTTGAACCAGGATAGCATCGGGGCTTCGATGTGGTTTTCGGTTCCTGTGGGCAACGAGGATCACTTGATCCAGGATAACAGTTGGGCGAAGCAGTTGTCTTTGGCTGTTGTGGACAGCGAGGATCGGTGGAGCCTGGATAACACCTTGGCTTAGCCGGTGTTACTGGTGGACGAACTGTAGTTGGAGGTAGGTAAGTTGCAGGTTGACAATCGGGATCTGTTGAACCAGGATAGCATCGGGGCTTCGATGTGGTTTTCGAATCCTGTGGGCAACGAGGATCACTTGATCCAGGATAACACTTGGGCAAAGCAGTTGTCTTTGGATGTTGTGGACAGCGAGGATCGGTTGAGCCTGGATCACACCTTGGCTTAGTCGGTGTTACTGTTGGACGAACTGTAGTTGGAGGTAGGTAAGTTGCAGGTTGACAATCGGGATCTGTTGAACCAGGATAGCATCGGGGCTTCGATGTGGTTTTCGGTTCCTGTGGGCAACGAGGATCACTTGATCCAGGATAACACTTGGGCGAAGCAGTTGTCTTTGGCTGTTGTGGACAGCGAGGATCGGTTGAGCCTGGATAACACCTTGGCTTAGTCGGTGTTACTGGTGGACGAACCGTAGTTGGAGGCAAGTAAGTGGCTGGTTGACAATCGGGATCTGTGGAACCAGGATAGCAACGGGGCTTCGATGTGGTCTTGGGCTCTTGTGGACAACGGGGATCACTTGATCCAGGATAGCAGTCAGGCGAAGCAGTTGTCCTTGGTTCCTGCGGACAGCGAGGATCGGTTGAGCCTGGATAACACCTAGGTTTAGTTGGTGTCGGTGGTCGAACCGTAGTTGGAGGCAAGTAAGTGGCTGGTTGACAAGCGGGATCTGTGGAACCAGGATAGCAACGGGGCTTCGATGTTGTCTTGGGCTCTTGTGGACAACGAGGATCACTTGATCCAGGATAGCAGTTAGGCGAAGCAGTCGTCTTTGGGTCTTGTGGACAGCGAGGATCGGTTGAGCCTGGATAGCATTTAGGCGAAGCAGTCGTCTTTGGCTGTTGTGGACAGCGAGGATCGGTTGAACCTGGATAGCAAGAGGGCTTTGGTGGCGTAATCTGATTGCCTGGAACTCTCGTCGTTTTTATTGGCGGAAGGTAAGTGGCTGGTTGACATTTTGGATCACTTGATCCGTCAAAACATCCAGGCTTTTTAGTAGTTTGCACTTTGGGGCACCTTGGATCTGGTGATCCAGGGAAACAGTTGAGGCACTCTGGATCCTTTGATCCTGGATAACATGAAGGACCTGGGGTCGTTGTAGTGGGCTCTGTTGGACAGCGAGGATCGGTTGAGCCTGGATAGCATTTGGGCGAAGCAGTCGTCTTAGGCTGTTGTGGACAGCGAGGATCGGTGGAGCCTGGATAACACCTCGGTGTTACTGGTGGTCGAACAGTGGTTGGAGGCAAGTAAGTTGTAGGTTGACAATCAGGATCTGTTGAACCAGGATAGCAACGGGGCTTCGATGTGGTCTTGGGCTCTTGTGGACAACGAGGATCACTTGATCCAGGATAGCAGTTGGGCGAAGCAGTCGTCTTTGGGTCTTGTGGACAGCGAGGATCGGTTGAGCCTGGATAACACCTAGGTTTAGTCGGTGTCGGTGGTCGAACCGTAGTTGGAGGCAAGTAAGTGGCTGGTTGACAATCGGGATCTCTTGAGCCAGGATAGCAACGGGGCTTCGATGTGGTCTTGGGCTCTTGTAAACAACGAGGATCACTTGATCCAGGATAGCAGTCGGGCGAAGCAGTTGTCTTTAGCACTTGTGGACAGCGAGGATCACTCGATCCAGGATAGCACTTGGGTGAAGCAGTCGTCTTTGGGTCTTGTGGACAGCGAGGATCGGTTGAGCCTGGATAGCACTTGGGCGAAGCAGTTGTCTTTGGCTGTTGTGGACAGCGAGGATCGGTGGAGCCTGGATAACACCTAGGTTTAGTCGGTGTCGGTGGTCGAACCGTAGTTGGAGGCAAGTAAGTGGCTGGTTGACAATCGGGATCTCTTGAGCCAGGATAGCAACGGGGCTTCGATGTGGTCTTGGGCTCTTGTGGACAACGAGGATCACTTGAGCCAGGATAGCAGTCGGGCGAAGCAGTTGTCTTTGGATCTTGTGGACAGCGAGGATTGGTTGAGCCTGAATAACACCTTGGCTTAGTCGGTGTTACTGGTGGTCGAACAGTGGTTGGAGGCAGGTAAGTTGCAGGTTGACAATCAGGATCTGTTGAACCAGGATAACAACGGGGCTTCGATGTGGTTTTCGATTCCTGTGGGCAACGAGGATCACTTGACCCAGGATAGCAGTCGGGCGAAGTAGTTGTCTTTGGTTCCTGCGGACAGCGAGGATCGGTTGAGCCTAGATAACACCTAGGCTTAGTCGGTGTCGGTGGTCGAACCGTAGTTGGAGGCAAGTAAGTGGCTGGTTGACAATCGGGATCTCTTGAGCCAGGATAGCAACGGGGCTTTGATGTGGTCTTGGGCTCTTGTGGACAACGAGGATCACTTGATCCAGGATAGCAGTCGGGCGAAGCAGTTGTCTTTGGCTCTTGTGGACAGCGAGGATCGGTTGAGCCTGGATAACACCTTGGCTTAGTCGGTGTTACTGGTGGTCGAACAGTGGTTGGAGGCAAGTAAGTTGTTGGTTGACAATTGGGATCCGTTGAACCAAGATAGCAACGGGGCTTCGGTGTAATTTGAGAATCTTGTCCGCAATTCCTGCTTGAGCTAGGCGAACAAGGTTCGATTATATCCTCACCACAAGTAAGTAATCGTTCGCAGGGTCCATTACATAGCTCAATATCGCATTTTAGATAAACTTGAGATCGGTCGGGAAACTTGAAAGCTTTAAGCGTATTGTAGTATGTTAACGTTTCACCAGGAGGTGATTCCAATTTTTTCCACTCGCCGAAAACTTTTTTCTTCAGCGAACATCCATTTTTATCGGATAGCTGCAGTTTGTTTGTAGTTCCTGCTTCAAAATCTGGCTGATCAGAAGCATAACATTGTAAAATGTTAATATCCCAAGTCTGATACAATTGTTTCACATTAATAGTAAATGTTATATCCGTGCCCAGCTTCAACGTGTAATTAATTGGCTTAATATTCGGTGGGAGACCCGTTCCTATTTCCATCCAGCATTCAACTGGACCGCTGGGAGTTTCTACCTCAATCACTTCTAGCATATCGACAACAAATGGTCGAAAATAAACGGTTTTCTCCTGTTCATCGCTGCGACTGCATGTGATTTTGCGTGCTGTGTCCCAGCTTTCTTGGATATCCTGGTCATTCTGTATGATAAGAATATTATCCACAGATGCACACAACGAGCAGGAGGGCTTGCTGCCGCAACCATCGAAGGGCACTTTGAATACAAAGCGACGTTCATTACTGCCAGAGTTCACATATCTAAAAAAAAAGTGGGAAAGCATGAATTGTTTCTTGAAATTAATTGAAATATTCTTCATATATTACGCACCTGCATTTTGGATCGTTGTAGTATCCTTGGCTGTATATAACTCCGTTGAATATCTCTGAAAATTCCACTTCTACTATCATGCCATTCGACGTATCGCATTTAACGTCGATTTTTTCAATGTTTCCATTGAATGCAGAGCTTTTACGAGATACCCTGGGAAACGAAAGCGCCAAATCGGCTGGCTTGACTTCATTGTCAACGTAATCGTCGTCTGTTCTCAGATCTGCGCCGCTGGCAATGACCTTTTAAATGCAATAAGCTATAAGTTGAAATTCAATACTTTTTCGTGTTTTGCAAATTTCATACCAAAAGCTGAGTCAATAATATGATGTGGCCAGCTTTGACCATTTTTAGTGGATTGTCGCTCGATCTAAAACCTGTTGCAAATTAAACGTAGTTGTAATTAAAGTTGTTGTTTAATTGATTTGGGTATATGCTAAGGCTGCGGTTTCTTTGTTCAACTAAATACTAAATATCGTAATAATGCATAATTATATATGCAAATAAGCGTCAAAGAATTAATCTCTAATAATCAATTTTTATTCGGGAATTCACATATTTGTTTCTTTTTTGCCAAAGTGCGATCGGAAGCAAACATGCTATAAATATTTCCAAAGCCATTTTAATGTCACAGAGCATTTAATTAATACCTTGGACGGTCGAAAACTCAACAAATCGCTCCCAAGGTGGTTTAAATTTATTCAAAATTATAATTTTTAAGTCCTTCGTTTTTGTACAAAAAAACAAAATATTAAAGATGATTATATTTTTAATAAATTTCGTGGGGCATTGTGTTAAAAATTGAACAGGTAAGATTAAAAAACGAATTGTTTTAAAACAAAAATTTTGCATTGCTTTAAAAAGTGTTTAATTCAATTATCAGATGTATAAGTTAATAAACATTATGATATGGTAAACATGTATGCAGCTCTATAATAAAAAAAGGTGTTATGTAGGTTATCATATTAATCAATTAACTCCCGACTCGCATTTGTCCCAGATCCAGAGCCAGATTGAAATTTACCTGTAACACCTCCTACCTGTCGACACCATATCGATTGAAAACCTGTTTTCAAGCGCGATTTTCACTGATTCAGTAAAAATGTAATGTCATTTATAAGGTAAAAGGCGTCATTAATAAAAGTAAATTGTGTTAACTTGAGAGGGCGTGTGGCAAGGCAAGCACGCCGGACTGTCCACATATGCAATATGCATAAATGTTGTATGCTTGAATTTGAAAATGTATTTGCATGATGAGTTAACTTTTGAAGACGGCAAAGCAACCACAGTTTAGTGGATATTTATGAATAGCATTCATTTATTGGTGTTTATTCAATTTGATGACCTTCGACGTTTTGGATTCCCTAAATGATTATCTCTCGCTGTTATGTTGAATTATCAATGCGCAATTTGCGCATATTGTTGTTGCTGCTGCTGACAGGTAGTATAAGTATTTAACTTGTTGCCAGATTTGAATTTTGGTTTTTTTTTTTTCAATTTTAATTTTGAAATATTGACTGGTTTTTGAATTGCTTTATTCGTTTTTGTTCTTTTGGTGCGCAGTTAAAATCTCTGATGCAGTTCGGCGTTAATTGAAATGTGCTTTATCTTACTTCGATTTTATGTCATCGGGCTGCGGCAGGTAAACAGGTAAATGACAATAACAGAGAGCACTACGTTGCTCACAAATTAGACAATAAACCAAATATATATATATATTTATATATTAGTCAATTTGTTTTAAATATGTTAATGTATGCAAAAGTAAATACACATGTTATAAGTATTTGCGCTAGTAGCAATTGATAGCTGGAATTAATGAGATCCATTCGAATCTCTCATTGATGATAAGTGCCATATCTTCGGCATCTGCATAGCATTGCCCAAGCACAAATGCTTGGCGTGTTTTTATTGACTGCCCACAAAATGAAATAAATAATAATAACTTGGACATTGATGATCTTGCCGTGAACTTTTGCCATTTGGGCGCCTCAGACATAGGCGCTCACACACATGCGCTTGGCTTGTTGTATTCGTGCTCGTCTAGGTATTCGTCACGGCAAACAGGTGATTACCCAACAGGCTTTTGACGCCGCCTCAGCCACGCATGTGTGTGTGTGTGTGTGTGTGTGTGTGTGTGTGCAGGCAGGCACCCACCTTTCAGCAGCCGTCAGTCAAACTGGGTGTGTACTGTGGACGCTGCAACTGGACACTTTTCTGTGTACTATCTGGCGTATACTTAATGATGCAACCCCGAAGAATATTTGATAATTATGCGTTATGCTTTGGCTCCATCAAGATAATCATGTCAAGTTGAATTGAGTTGATCATCAAATCCGGCAATTTGCTGTTTGCTTTGAAGGAATTGATTGCTTGATTTGGACAACGGTCAAATTAGTGAAGTTGTTGTTGGTTTTGCTTGCTTTTTCTTTTTCTTTTTCTGTTTCCTTTTTTTCTTGCTTTTTTGTGGCTAATCTCTGCACAACAAATCTGTTCACATGCGCTTACAAAATGTTTATCATAAGTATTTAATGCGGCTGTTCGCGAATCAACAAAAAAAAAGGTGAGCCAATAATAACCGACTTTAAATAAATTTATTCGCATTAGTTTTGTATGGATATAACTCTTATTAGTGTGTTGCTTTGTAAGGTTGTCTTTTTTCGTAGTCGAGCTGTAAGCCATATTTGTATATTTCCTTTTACTAAATAGCAAATAGGGCATGTACGCTTCGGTGTCAGCCATCGATTTTTATTTGCCATATAGCTGTGGTCATTCAAGTCTAGGGCAAGCAAAGTGGCACAGATTTTTTATTTGTGCATTGCTCAATCCCAAATCGCAGCGGATAAGCTGATTGCGGCAATCTGAAGTGTGGAATCTTGCATCCTCATTAAGCAATGTTTCAAGGCTGCGACAGGAACGACAAGAGCACACACTAAATATTTTATAGTCTTTAGGCAAGCGCCTTTTAATAATAAGTCTTCGGATTATAAATGACTCTCGCAGCTGTCGCTCGTTTAGGTTAAGCCTTTTTCCGGCTCCAATGCGATTTGAACAGTTTAATTCGGCCTTGCCTAAGTGGTTACAAGCTTTGCAGAGATTCTTTGTCTAATCCATAAATAAATCTAGAGTTTTAGTAATAAATCGTCGTGTCTTTTTATAAATTAAAACAAATTAATTTGGAAGACTTGGCGACGACTTCGTGAGTTTTATGATCAAAATAAATGGAATAGTATTAAATATAATTTAATACATTTAAGACTTTGTAATTTACGGACTTGATGATCACAAATAAAGATAAAGCTGATCACTTGCGAAAGCATAAAAGTTTGCTTCTTGAAAAAACATAAAACAATTCATTTGACCTTTGACCCAATTTAACATTTGAGTACAGTGAATAATTCCATAACCCTTTTTACTTGCTTTTTATCACTTTGCTTTTGGCAATAACTTATAAAAATTTTAATTATTTCCAAACTGCACGATTGAAAACTTTCAAACATTTAGGAAATGGTTTTCAACAATTCGAAAAACTCACTAAAATTCTATTTAATACTTGACTGTATTTAATAGTTATTAATTAAGCAATAATTATTGCTTTATTTGTCGCATTATTCCCGTTGTTGCATTTCACTTTTTTTTTCGCAAATACAAGTTTTCAAAAATGTTTTCAAACTCCCACGCAACGCACTGAACACCACAGTCACGATTATTTTGAAATCCGCATAGAATATATATATACATATAATGTTGTTCAGAAAAATGTCGCTTGATTGAACTTACTGGAATTGCTGGCTGGTCGGTGCTTTGGAGGAGAGTTGGTTTGATCGCCGGCTGGTTAAGAGTTCGCTGTCGCACTAAGCCACGAAAAGACGCGTCTTCGTTTATATACTCGCACGTAGCATGTTTTAACTAAAATCGTTTGGAACACGGCTTTCAAAATCCAAAGGCGCAGCAAATGCAAAAAACAACAGCAGCAGCAGCTAAAAGAGCAGCTAAAACAGCAGCACGGCTGGCCACAAAAGAGTTATTTACTTTACAATTTTTTTTTCTATACTCACGAGGCTTGTTTCAAAAGTATTTAAAAATATCCGTTGGCAAAATATTTATTCTTCGATGTGGCAACGCTTTTTCAAGTGTGTGTGTGTGTGTGTTTTTTCTTTTAAATGGCATGAGTCCAGCTAGCAAAAATGTCCGTTAGTTTTTGATCACGCCTCGTGCATGCATTCGGATACACTTACTAAATGCCAGAGTGCAGGGTATATCGAATTCCTTATAGAAGTGGGCATCGCTGCAAATACTTCTAGTCAGTCCAAGTAGCTAGCCAAAGGATTTCTAAAACACAGCAAAATACATTACTTTTGAAATTGAAACATTCAAGATTATAGAAGCTGCTCAAACATAGAGTATACACAAGAGTTGATTACTTATACTAGACATAGAGTATTCAGAAGAGTTGGCAACTAGCTGCCAAGTAGTATTTGTAGAATATATTATTATTATATTAATTATAATGCATTTGAAAACTGTAGAGTACAAGTTTGTAAAGGGCATGCGAGTGAGTCTTTGTTCGAAACCAGATTTGAGGTTTTTCATTTATATTTATGCGGCAGGCAGTCGCGTGAGCCGAACATTGTCCGCTCTGCGTCTTCTTCATCTTGACCCGGCAACGGTCTGAGGCGTTGCAGCGGCGACAACTCCAGCCGAAAGATCCGCAACGTCAAATGGCTAACACCTCAGTATGTATTTTAGGGCCAAAATGCCAAAATCCGTCATTGTCGTAACTGAAATCGTGGCCGGCTTCGACAACGACATCGACGCCGAGCTGGTCATGCAACTATAGTCATTGCGGGCCCGATCATCCCGAACAGGTATTAATACTGGTAGTCATACTTTTTTGGATGCCCAGCGTCCGCTTCGTGCCTGGTGACAGACGGCAAGCGGTCATGGCGATTTAGATGGTGCTGGTGATTGCTGTTGTAGTACCTTTGCGGATCGTTATGGCTATAGCTTTGTTGTTACTGCCGTTGACGTTGGAGGGACGTATAAAAAACCAACAACATATTGCCGATGCCAGCTAGACCTACCTGCCGACATTTGCACAAACATTCAATTATAGATATTAACATATACTTAATTATTGTTTATCATTATTTCTTGCTAATTTATAACTAGTCAAAAAATAAAATAAATAAAAAAACAACTAACCACAAATGAAGTCGTAAAAATACGCCCAATACTTGAGCATTTTCAATATATTTAGTTGTTCCTCGAAGGCCATCCACATGTGCCTGCAGAGGCTCTGAAAACTCAAGGAAACCAAGCCAAATGTTTGGCACTGGGGCATTGCGAACATGACATCCGAAATTCCTGCCACTTAGCACTGGAAACGCGACCTTGAGCACCGGAAATGCTTTCTGTGTGAGACGCCAGGCCCTGGAAAACCAAGCAAAAATATTAAACAAGCTGATAACCCGTTTCGGAGCACACCAAATCATGTTGCTTGGTTTGGCATACAATGCTACAAAAACATAAATTATGCTTATACATCACAATAACTCAACAGACTGGGACTGTGTGCCTTAAATCATATATTGCATGTTTAAACAGACAAAAAAAAAACGCAGCTTTAAATTTTCTTTTTCAATAAGTTGTTTATGCAATTTTGCAATGAAGTAAGCATACAAAAGTAATTCATTTTTAATTATATGAAAGGGAAGGCATTCATAAGCTCAAACAAAACATTTATTTTTATACTCTCAACTCTGCTTTTGTTGATTTCAAAAATAAAAAGGCGTTTTTGAAACAGCATAAATATTAAGCATGCCCAAAAGTATGCAATGCAATTTGGAACTGATAAATCTAAAGCATACTTTGAGGAACACTTGAATATATGACATTGTATAGAACACTTTGGGAATTATTTCTCCATTCAGAATTCTATCCAGTTAGATTTGCTTGAACTTTTCCTGTTAAAATAATTGTGCATTGACTAAAGAGCGACTGATTTTAGGTATAAACTCCGAATTCTATAACTATATGTAGAGTGCAACATATAATTTTTTTAATAATCCTTTAAAAAAGGATCGTGAATAATCGGACCACATTTATAAGGTAATTAGAAAGTGTTGTGATTAGTTTATTTCAGATGTCCTATTTCTATTCCGGACGACTTACCTTATGGACTCGTTTCCGACTGTGGATTAGCATCCAAGTCTGAATGAAGACCAAATTTCACAACAGTGGCAAAGGATTGCAAAATATCTTATTTGAAGTGGTTTGGTTCTGAAATCAAAAATTTACTTTTAATTTTATAATTTAAATATTGTGCTTAGCAAAATAGCACTAAAACTTACTTGCACTCCATACTGTAAGGGACCATGATTCCAAGGAACTCATATAAAGTCCTTCAGCAATCTGCATCAAATGCAATATATGATGCATGCGTAACTTCTGCTTATAAAGGGAAAGTTCGTATAGTCCGAAGAACTGCTGTTAGGGAAAAAATACATATTAGGACCATGTTCTTGCTGTTTAGCTCAGATACATTACATTAGGTTGAAAATACCTACCTCTTTGATATAATTATGCAAGGATGTAGTCATCTAGGTATTTCCTTTTTATCCAAAGGGGGCTTTAATATTACCAAAAAAAACTACATTTCAGAAAAGATGAAATCTGTGAATATTTTGGAGTTACAAAATTTTTTACTTTTGCCAACATTGACAACAAATACCAAACCTTGCATTGTTAAATGAAATGGGCCAGTTTCACAGTTTCAAATTTTTGAAGTTTTTGGTATATCTGGGGATTAAGTTCAATTTGGGAATGATCTCAAATGTCTATTGGCCTTAACAAAATCGAGTATTAAATTGAGACTATTAAAAATACGAATTATTTGTAAAAAATGTATCGTTTAGCCTTCTATCCCAGGACAAGCTCTCTATAAAAGTATATAAAATATAGAAAACGAATTCAAAGTCAAACAAAAAGGACTTCCAGCTGAATCAGACTTTTTGGCATTTGAAAACTCCATTGACAGAAAAAGCTTTTAACACTGTTCCAAATGGGTTTTCGCAGGCAGTGTTGGCAACGCTGAAAATGTTGTGGGTGTACGAGCCACTGGAGTAGTATTGGGGGGCCTGAAGGAAAAATCGATATTGCCACAGCTGTTCGTGTACAAGTGAAACGCTGAGAGTAGCCGGAAAAAAGTTGTAAAACTGAATATCAAAGGAACGAATAACGTATAAACAAAAGAAGAGGCAACAATTGAATGAACCATAATCAAGAAAAAGCATAAACAATTATTGGAAAAGAGAGTGGTAATTTTTTTTTTGTAAAGTAACCGATTTTGATTATGTGGCATATGGTTGTCCTGCGACTTTCGTGGCAATAGACAAATACTGTACCGAATATCCTTTAGAAATATGCCCAGCTCAAGGCGTGCCATTTTGGGGCACATCATGTCCGGATTGTGCACGAAGATGAACCGCACCAAGCCCGTGCCCGCTGATGTCATGGAGACGCCCTTGAAGCGATGCCTGACCACCTTCGATATCGCACTATTGGGTATACCTACAAGAATATATTCTCAATTAATACACATAAATATATATATATATATATATATTTTTTTTTTACTTACAGGAATCGGACATATGGTGGGTGCGGGCATTTATGTCCTGACTGGAACTGTGGCCAAGGAAATGGCTGGACCTGGCATCATTTTGTCGTTTGTGCTCGCCGGATTCGTCTCCATGTTGGCGGCGCTGTGCTACGCGGAGTTTGGCACTCGGGTGCCCAAGGCCGGATCGGCATATGTCTACACCTATATATCGATCGGTGAGTTTTGGGCATTCGTCATTGGCTGGAATATACTGCTGGAGCATATGTTGGGCGCCGCGTCGGTGGCGCGCGCCTGGAGCGGCTATGTCGACTCAATGCTGGGCGGCTGGATAGCCAACACGACGCTCGCGCTGATGGGCGGCATACATGAGCCCGGCCTGGCCCAGTATCCGGATGTGCTGGCCTTTCTCGTGTGCATTGTCTATGCGGCGGCATTGGGCAGCGGCGTCAAGGCGACCGCCGTCTTCAACAGCATCCTGACCCTGGTCAACATTGGCGTCATGATGGTGGTCATTGGCGTCGGTTTCTGGTATGCGGACACCGACAACTGGTCCGAGGCCCAGGGCGGATTTCTGCCGTTTGGCTTTGGCGGCGTGATTGCCGGCGCTGCGACCTGTTTCTATGCATTCGTCGGCTTCGATTCGATAGCCACAGCGGGCGAAGAGGCTAAGAATCCGGCCGTATCCATACCCATTGCCACCGTGCTGTCCCTTTGCGTTGTCACCATTGGCTATATTCTGGTGAGCGCCGCACTGACGCTCATGATACCCATCAGTGACATTAATCCGGCTGCCTCGCTGCCGGAGGCCTTCGGGCAGCTGCACCTGCCCTGGGCCAAGTACATCATCTCAATCGGCGCCCTCTGCGGCATGACCACCACGCTGCTGGGCTCCCTCTATGCTCTGCCCCGCTGCATGTACGCCATGGCATCGGACGGTTTGCTCTTTAGCTGCTTCGGTCGCATTAACGCGAGCACTCAGGTGCCTCTGTTGAATCTGATCGTCTCCGGGCTGCTGAGCGCTGCCCTGGCATTGGTGTTCGACCTGGCCAAGCTGGTGGAATTCATGTCAATTGGCACTCTGCTCGCCTACACCATTGTCTCCGCCAGCGTCATAATACTGCGATATCGACCCCTTCCCCACGTGGGTACTCCGAATCCTGTTTATGCGCCCGATACGCCCGATGACGAGAACGACGAGGATGGCGATTCACAGTCCAGCATTGGCACAGCTTCGCCCACAAGTGATCTCATCGAGGGCGCCCTTGCGGGTCGCCTCAAGCCACAGTTCCGCTGGCTGGATCCGCTGCTGGGTCGCTTTGCGCCTGGTTCTGTGGTATCCGGCGCGGTGTTGCTGTTCGTTGTGCTGAGCTTCGCCATCTGCCTGGAGCTGAAGGTGTCCTGGGCGCAGCTGTACACAGGCACCTGGTGGGCATTGCTGGTATATGGTTTCATCATCTTTGCTGCCAGCACCTGTGTCGCCATCATGGCGGTGCATAATCAGAATACGCGAGGCCTGAACTTCAAGGTGCCACTGGTGCCGTTCGTGCCAGCGCTGGGCATCTTCAGCAACATAATGCTAATGGTGCACCTGGACGCATTGACCTGGGTACGCTTCTTTGTCTGGGTATCGATTGGCATGGTCGTCTATTTCCTGTACGGCATGGGTCATAGCAAAGAGGGCGAGGCCTGTTCCTCGTACTCCATTCTGATGACCTCATCGGAGGCAGGTAAGCTGAACTGGGGATCCTTCAAGGGTTCGAAGAATCCCGCAAAGCATACCGTGCTGGAGCGTTTCCTGGGACGCCGGAAACCGAATGATAAGAAACCCATTGTCGATGACGAAACCGACGAAAATGCTGATAGTCCAAATTAAACCAATTGCTGGGGACATTATTCCATCATCTGTATTTAGCAAAGCACAACGGTCTGTGACGAAACATCCTCGGCTATAAATCAATTGACATCGATCGAAATATTGAAATATTATTACAAATATTTATCGCTCGTTGAAAGTAATATGTCAGAAGAACACAAATCAAAGTAATTTATGTATGCTTAATCAGAGTATCCTTTAGTCGACGATAGATTCCGATCTGCAACAATTGTTAAAAAAAAAGTACCTCTCAGAGTTCCGTTATAAACTACCACAAAACTGTCAAAGAATCTACCTACTCTTATACTCTTATATTCTCTTATAATTATTGATGTACAAGCTTATTCATTGTATACATGAGATAAACAAATAATAATTTAAACATATTAAAGATGTATATTAAAGTATATTTGAATTGTTTCATATATGTAAAAGTCTATATATATATATACACAATATTAAATATTTATGAAAATGAAAAACGTTTATGGATTTTCTTTGGGCAGTTTTAAGGAAATTAAAGTATCAAACGAAAAACTTTGAAACACTTTCTTATTTCGTAACACGATGTAAAATGTAAAATTGCCCTTTTGGGGGCAAGTGCATGTGCACGGTGTAGATTACGAAGAGCCATATCATGTAGATGGTTCGTGAACTTATTGCATTTCGTGCGAGATTGCAACGTGTGACTGGCAAATTTGAGCGCAAGGAATGTCGCGGCGTTCATTTATAATTATCTATCGAAATCAGGCTCCATGGGCAGTGGGGCGTGGTGTGGGGAGATGTGGGTAGAGGGCGCCACCGCGTCATCAGCATAAACAAATTCGCATTTTGATGACGCAGCCGTGATGACGCATACAATGTATGAAATACATTCACATAAAAGAGCACGCAGCCATATGAATGTGTATTTATATATATATGTGTGTGTGTGTCTCTTTGTGTCTGTGTGTTTCATACGAGCCCAAGGCCTGAGATGGAGAGTGAAAAAGTGTTTCGTGCGAGAGCTTACGAGCTTGGCAACAACAAAATCTGTAGCTAGAATATCTTCAACAGTCAAAAACGGGTTTCGAACGCATGACTTTTTGATGGAGCGGCAAAACGGCGCTTATTCAGAAGCAGAGACAACAACTCGGCGCTATTTCGCAAGCCAAAAAGTCCGTTGGCACTGAGCTTAACGTATAAGTATTTTGAATTCAAATTCAAAAATTAACGCTCGCAGCGTGCACACATGTGTATGCTTTAATATATGTATATGCATGTGTATGTGCAAGCAAATGTATGCTGCAGCTTCTTCCATGCGATATACATGTATGTATGTATGTGTGTGAGTATGCAGATTGGATTTCGCAGTTTAATACAAAATTACATGATATGAATATTGACCCTTGTAATTGAGTCAAAGTGGAACTATTTGAAAGAGTGAATTATTTTCATAGTGAAACAGATTTTCATGTTGCTCTTTAGAGGTCTTCCGGCTATGCGATGGCCCCTAAAAACCATATTCACAACAACGCGCCTGTACCAATGCCATTGACAAGTTTTGCTCTGCGAGATTCGTGTATTGAAGCAGCACAAGGTGATAGGATGGATGCCGGCTGTTCAAAAACGCAACCTTATGAAGCAGAAGTACCAAATGCGATGCGATGCGATGCGATGAATTCAAAATGTACAAACAATAATATACGAGGTTTAGTTCAACCGTTTTCAATACCTTAATATTTACAAAAGTAGTAGATAAAAAGCGGGTGTTTTAAGCAGTAAGTACTCTAACGTATCAAAGCGTCGTCTTCCATTTCCTAGTATTTTTAGGTTAAACTTACTTGACAGGAAACGCAGATGTGCAAACTTTTAGGGCGCACCTCGTGCTCGTATCGACAGATGAATGTTCTTCGGTTGCATGTTTGTACGAATGTATGTATGTATGTATACTTGGAAATCACCTTGCAACAGCTGCAACATCCTTGGACGACGTACAGCCATCCCTCACAATTTAGGGGTTGATGATGCAGACGCGGAGTCCGGGAAATGGAAATCTACCTGTAGTTGTAGTTGTCTTTACCTGCATACATACAGATCGAAATATGCGTTGCGTACATGTGCATGTGTGTGATCTGCTGTGCTCTGGCATAATTCCTGTGTAGGCCAATGATCTTTATTTTCGAGTTGCAGCTGCTCAACGAAATCATAAACTGCGCCGCGCACATCGAATAATTGTTGCAGCCATTTCTGCAAGTATACATACATACATACAAACATATCACTGTCACATGCATAGGTATGTACACTATAACATCGATATGTATTAATTCATATCG